AAAATGGATTTAGAAGAAAACTCATCCTTTATCTTAATTTTTACTATACCAAAAGTAAAAACTGACAATTTGTTTTTCAGAATCTATTCTTAGACTGTCTTCCTTGAAGATACATCATTGTTACCATAATTTGGCATTTAACTCTCCTCATTCTACAACAGGCACTTTGCTACTACAATGGAAGTATTGACCTGACAACATGTAAACTTTTGCTGTAACCCTCTACCAAGGGCATTTCTGATAAACTTTATTAACTAATGTAAGTGCACACTTTCATGTGGACATTTTTCTCTGCCAAATTTCATTTTTTATTAGGTACTCAGAAGAATATTTTGAGCAAGTCTTCACACTCTTCTTTTCTTTATATATAAATTTATTAGAAACAAAGAAAAGATTACTGGATTGCTATCTAATGTTGGTCCTCCTAATAGTGAATGCTAGATAGTCTCCTCACAGATGAAGAAGAGACTTGAGGCCACAGAAATGTGGTTCTACAGAACGAAAAAATACTACAGACTGAATATATGTGCAAAGATGAAGTTTTAGAGAAAATGTAAGCAAAAAGGATACATACTTAGAATCAGAAAAAGATAATTGAAATTTCTCGGGCAAGAAAAACTCTAAAAGTTTTTTTATAAGTAATTTAAAATAATTATAAATAATGCTAATTTTGTTATTTCTCTTTGAGAGGAGAATATAAAAATTTATATAAAAATGTAAATTAAATAAATGATTACTAAAAATGTATTCATAAAAAGATAAAATGCATATTATAACTCGTCTGTTTTAAGGTTTTAGATTTAATTTTCAAATTTCAAAAAGATATACACTTTTGGTTATTTTGAGTAATCAGGAGAGTGGCTTCCACCTATGCAAATTTAAAATTTGAGCTCCATCTGGAGCCTATTTCAGGGCTATATAAGAAACAGTATTCAGCACTAAAATTCAGAATGTGCTAAATGGTACAAGAAGGTACCAAAAGGTTACAAGTTATAAGGAGATCAGAAAGAAAATCTATTTTGGCTGTCACCAGTAGATAAACTCAGCTGTTTTTTGTGGAAGAGGCAAGAAGCAAACGAAGACAGAAACAGAAAATGAAGCAGAACCAAAGTGGAACTAGTGAAATGAAAAATTTCTGAAATGATTAATGAACTGTGTTAAAAAAAAGAACAAATTCATTTAAGACCCAGTAAACCTGCAAAAGACTTATTAGTTTCCACTTTCAGTTAAGTAAGTATATCATTTTTTGAAAAGAATTGCATTGTACTGTCAAGATTTTTCTATTATTGGAAGTTTGTTGAATAATTTATATATCTTTTTTATGAGCCATAATATAAAAAATGTATTTATGCTTCCTCATGTGAAAGTTGCCAGCAAAGCAAAAGACAGAGAGTTCTCCTCATTCTTTAAAACTAAACTGACAAAAAAGAACAAAGAGCGTCTTTAGGCTGACCACTAAAGGGAAACTTCAAAAACAAAGTAATTGAAAAGGACATAATTCCACACTGGGATTCATGTCCAAAAAGTATGTGGGTTTTTTCACTTATCTTTTAGTGAAGTGCACCCTTTTTAGCTAAGAGTAATTTTTATTTTTTCCAACATTTTTGTTTCCCCTTTCATGATTTTAAAGAAAAAAATGTTGTGGTGAACCTTTTTTAGAGCCAATTGTGATATAATTTTTTTGCTATCTTAAATGTCCTTAATAAGGTGCATGAAAGGAAATTTTTTGTGCAGGCCTTCTTTTTGTAAAATTTGTACTCTGTTATATTGTCTTGAATTAATTTAATGTTTGTACTTTTCAGATTTCACGAGGTATTTATGAATCTTTGTTATTGTTTGTACATTTTTTAATATTTGGGATAAGGTGGACATTCTATAAGAAGTTTAAACTGCTTGAGTATGTATTGTCTGCTTTTCTGAGAGAAAACAGATGTTGTGTTGGGCTCTTGCTTAAACATTTGAATTTCAAAAATATTTTTATACATTTCGATTTGTGGGAAAACAGCTGCATTTGGTTTTCATTCAAAACCAATATAAAGGTTTCCCTCCAAATTCTGAAAAGTGAAATCTGAAGCCTATCTTGGTGAATAAAAAGAGAACCAAGAATTGAATTCAAGGAGTTGATGAACAGTTGCTGCATGAACCCAGGTTGAACTGGTCAAGGAAGAAAAACAACACAGAAGAATGACCACCAGATGAGAATTGAAAGAATTAAGGAACATTAAAGTTGCTCCCACATCAAGGAAAATTCTTCGGCTGGTGTGATTGTTCTTTTCTTCACTGCTTTGAACATTGTACCTTTTCTTTGAAAATTATTCAGAGAAGTATTTTTCCCCTATCTTCATTTCTAAGTTATTTACCTTTTCTGATGACCTTATGCAGCATTGTAATTTTTATTGTAAAAGAGGCATATTTCATTTGCATTGATTATTTGTACATATATGTTATTGGCCATCATTTGGCACACAAAGCACTTTCTTTCATTTTTTGTGTGTTAATAAATTTATTGTCTGTTTTTTTTAAACTCAGCTTGTGTTGTCTGTTTTTGTTGTGTGCCCTCAATTGTTACCTCAAATGTTTGTTTGTTTGTTGAACTATTCTTTCATGTTTTTTTACCAAATTAAAAAAAATTCTTTAATTCTCTCTTCTTTCAATCCCTTTGAGAAAAAAAATTAAATTCTATTATTTTGCACCAAAAATTTAGTTATTATAAAAATCTATTATTGCAAATTATTTTTTATAATATTTCTATTTTTTAATTGAATATCTTGCCTTTAGCTACTTTAGCATTCTGCTACCACTTTCTTTTGACATCAATTTTTGTACAAATTAAACACCAAAGTGGATCACAAAGCCTTGATATTTCTCTGATTCCTGATTGGTCAATTAATGCTAATATCATGCTTTTGTCTATGTTCGCACAGTTAAAGTTAATTTACCGACAAAAATCTGTCTATGTGTTTCAAGCCTATCACTTGACATACAACATTATAAATACTTAACGACATCATCAACTCTTCTTCTTTCCTCTGTTTTTCTCAGAACCACAACAACGTAATTAAGTGAAAAGTCTGCATCTGTTCTTTATGGGAAGACGCTATTACACATGTATGTACAAACATTGCACATCTCTTAACTCATCTTATTCACTCCTTCAACTACAAGTAACAGAAACTTATCAACTTCTAACAGTGAGCTTTGCAGCATCAAACAATTTGCCAAACAAATTCATGCCGTTCATATCTTTGAAGTTTCTAAGTTGGATTTCCTAACATAATCCCAAACTTTGAATTCACTTACTCACCAACAAACTACACTTCAATTTTAATATCTACGATTTTTATCAAAACAACAAGAATTCAGCTCAAAGAGCATACAGTTTGCCAAACAAACATTTTATTCAAAAAGCAACTTTGAACATAGCCTCTAAACACAAACTTATTTTGAGTTAATTATCTTACAGCCAAAAGATTCTTAATATTTAATGCACACTTTACTCAAAAGTTATAAGTTTAAAAGTTTATCTTTTAAACACAAAATTCAAATTTTGATATCAACCAACATTTCATTTACCAATTTCGATTACAACAAACCTTCCAGGAAGAACACAACTTACTTTCTTCAAAGACTTTACTCATTTGTTGAATCAACTTTATTCACGTAATATTTAAACTTCCATCCTTTTATCTGTTTCATTAACAAAAAAAATATATATTCAATATTCAACAGGCGAAGGGAGACAACTATTACCTTAATCTCCAATATCAAACTATGACAGAAATTTACAATGTAAAATATTATTTAATCTGAATTGATTAATTCTTTGAAAATTCTTTTACTGACAGGAACACTGAACAAACTCTCTATCTGTACTAAAGAACATTCTCATGTTGTACGTATTTGTTATATAAATGCTTTATTCTTGTTTTTCTAAAAAGGAATATTGTTTGTTTTGATTGTTTTCATTGATGTCCTTGTACCATATCCAAAGTTAAATGTTTGTGGAGAAGTTTATTTTCACGTAGACAACACAAATAATACTTTCTGATATATACATATTTTTCCAGAATAACCTCCACACATCACTAAAAAAAGAATCAGCATAGACTGAGGAAAATATGCTCAAAAAAACGTAATGAAAACAGTTTTATCAAAATCTTTGTTATTATTAATAGAAAAGATCAAAGTATTTTTAGAACATTCGAAATTTTGACTAAAAAACTTGTTTTTCTTGCGTCAGCTGTTTTAATAACTTTTTTTTAGCATAAGCAAATTTTAGCCTCTTTTTCCGGTGACACACAGAAATTTTTGTAAAAATCAACTAATTGTCAGATTTTAATGAAATATTCAGGACTTATTTACAAATGAAAAAAATTATTTTTGATTTAAAAAATAATTTCATTTTTTATTAGAAAATCTCGGAAAAATATATTTTTCTTACATTTTTTACTTTTTCTTTTTTACTTTTCTTACATTTTTTTTACTTTTCTTACTTAATTTTATGAAAACTTGAAAAATTCAGTGTGAAAATTTTTTAGTAACTGTATTAGTTAAAAGTAGAATTCTTTGAAGAATTTAAATCACCGATTTTTTTTTTTTGCAAAGTCAGACCCGTCTTTCCGGAAATTTGTTCTGAATTGAAAAAAAAAAAAAACGCAATAAAACTAAGACATTATTTAATTAGAAGAGCTTTTAATTGCTTTTCTGAATAATATATATTAAAGACAATATTGTCTGAAGGAAAAAAAATTTTTTTGATGGAAAAAGAATTTTAAATTTGTCATAAAATAAAATAAGACATATCTCTGCTGGTACTCCGTACTCTCCGTCGCCAACCGCCGGTCGCCGGCATCGGGCCTCTTGATTTGCGGGAAAGGAGCATTCGTATATCCTGCAGCTGATGTTGCAGGTCAGCTACTGCCTTTTCCAGATCTGTGTCATTGGCTGGTGTGTCGTCTGGGCGCTGCACTGCACACACTCCTTGGTCGAGTTTTGTTGCGATGCGGTCAGCGGAGTTTGCTAACTGGTCTAGTGGAGTATTGTCAGCGATTGGCGCCAATATCTGCGTTATTGTAGTGGGTAACTTGTCCATCCACAGTTCGCGCAAGATCGATTCGGCCATCGAATGTTTTCCTAGTCGGCTCCTCATGAAGCGTAGGAACTGTGAGGGTGTTCTGTCGTCCCTGGTGACGTGGGTGAAAAGTTCCCGGAGCAGATCCTCGTCCGAACGGCCGGTTCGTTTCAATATCGCATCCTTAAGCCGAGTATATGGCTCCTGCTAGGGTACATGTTCTAAAATGTCGACTACTTCGTCGACCACTGAAGGTGGCAAAACTTGTACGACGTTGGCGAATTTTGATTGCTGTGACGTTATTCTCCGTACTGAGAAAATGGCTTCCAACTGCAGAAACCAGTTTTTGGTGTTTTGTTCGTTATACGTAGGGAGGTTCGTGAGTGGCATTGCTACATTTATGGGAGTGTTCTGTTCGCACTCCTCTGTTGCCATCTTGCTCGATCGTAAATATCGGGGTCACCACTTGTTGCGGCGTTAAGCAGGTGCCTGTTAACCCCGCAAGCAGAAAAATAATATAGGGTAATACGATCGAAGCAAGGACAACAAAGGCGAGGATATAAAAGTTTAAGCCAAATTTTATTAAATAACTAGCAGTAGAGCACGGCGTTGCCCGGGAATGTAACAGTAAGAGATAGATCAAGTATCGACCATCATAAAGACTAAAAATAAAATTGATAAAGATTATTGTTTATGGTTGACGGACACGCATGTGTTAATTAGTTTTTTTTTTTTTTAACGAATTGGTCAAACCCAAATTCAAACAAAAACATTGTTTACAATCGTTATGAGCCTATCGATTGGTGAATAGAATTTTATTATAAACAATTGCCTTGTAAATGGAATTTTTAAAGCATTCTGAATGTATAAATAAAGAAAAAAGTGTGCAAGACAATAAGAAATACTACCTGCCAAAAAAAAAAAGTGGATGTTTGTTTTATCGGCTGAAAAATGTAAGAAATCCGATCCCATATATAAAGGAACACACACACACACACACACACACACACACACACACACACACACACACACACAACCTGGGTTTTTTTTAACCTAAGTCACTCCACGGAATCGCTAAAACATAGAGCATAGTCTGATGAAAAAGACGCCAAAGTTTATGAAAACAAAATTTTATCGTCAAAATGCTTATGTTTTTATGAAGAGGATAGACTAATTTTTTTTTTAATTATTTTTAAAAAATTTTTCCATCTTTTTAGAATATTCTAAATTTTGATTTAAAAAACCTTATTTCTCTTTGTCGCAACAAGTGGTAGTAAATAACAGATAATTTTTAGCGCGTTTTTTTGTATTTACACACATTAATTTGGAAAATCTTGCAAAAATAAAAATAATTGTCATATGTTAATGAAACTTTCAAAAACTATTCACAGATGATCAAAATTATTATAAATATGTTTTTTTTTTTTATTAAAGTCATGGCAGAAATATTTTTTTTTATATTTATTAACACCCCCATAACTAATTTTATGAAAAACTCTAGAAATTCGAGACCATCGGTTTTAGTGATTACAATAGTTAAAAGCACAAGGCTTTGAAGAATGCAAATCATGTTTGTTTTTTTTTTTTTTTTTTTTTTTTGGCCAACGTACCTGAAAATCAGCTGTGAATTGTAACATACAAAACTCAATAAAACAAATATATTATTTAGTTTCAAATGCTTTTATTTGTTTTAATTTGTTTTTATGAATATGGACAATATTTTCTGAAAGCAAAAAATTTTTTCAATGAAAATTGAATTTTTAATACAATTATTTCTTATTTCTTTAATTTTAAAAAGATTTTTAAAAAGTTTTTAAATTGAATTTTTAAAAATATTTTAACATTAGTTAAAAGCAACATCAACCTTTCAAAATGTCCGTATTAGATTGTCATTGTCTAGCGCTTTGAAAATTGTATAATTTGGACCAATCAGATTAGCCATGGTAATTAAGAAATGTAATTTTTGTGTTTATAGTCGGACAGTAATTATCAAGTACGGAAGACCAACCAGAATACAATTTAGTTGCATTATTTGAGTTCAGCATTGCTCTCCGCTGTTAAGCCCTTTACTTTTGCGAAACACGTATGGAGAAGTTAATTTGAGTTTTCAATTCCAACTGAGAAGGGTACCTACAAGTATCAGTATCATCTTATGAATTTAACTACTGCTAAATTTTAATTTATATGATCTTATTTTTATATTAATCTCAGTTATGACATTTTTCCATAAATGAAATATCAAAATTAATAATAAAATGAATGGAAATAAAAATAACACAGTAATGTAATAAATGTACATAAAATTATAGTATTTTATGTACACTTCTGATAAAATTTCATAAGAAAGGTACTTAAATTAATTAGATACCTTTTTCTTATGAAATTTAATCTCACTATTAACAGTCTTATTTTTTAATTTCTTTATATTTTCCATAAAGCATCGTAAACGTAAAAATGAAAGCTAAGTACAAAAAAAAAAAAAAAAAAATGCGCTGAAAGTTTTCCTTAAAAGTAACGAGGTAAATAATTTGTTCACTTAAATAATTTCACTTCCTTCCACCCGTAGAAAGAATTATCCTCTCGTAAGTTATCTAAACGTCATGAATGTGCCTTTCGTCAATCGTCAAGCGACGCGAAAGGTTATGACCTGCTTTCTTTTATTTTCAAAGTTAAGCTTGGTTCAAAATATTTTAAATAAACAGTATAATTTCTGCTTTTATTAAAATCAGTTTTGAAAAAATGATAATTGATTTTTAAAAGAATATCAAAGTCAGATTTTAATCTTTTTTATCAAATCGAAAAAAATGATTGAAAATGATTGATTATCTGTCCTTTTTTTGACCAAAAAAAAAAAATATTTTTAACGAAAATTTCAGACGTGCTAGGAACGATTAAAAAATGTAAAAAAATACCCCCAAAATACTTTGATCTTTCCTCTTTAATAATAATATGAACATTAGGCGATAAAATTTTGTTTTCGTCAAGTTCGGCTTTTTTTCATCATGCTATGCTCTTTTGTTTACATTTTCGTGGGTGAGTTGTACCCCTTTCATTCTCACGATGTGTCTTAATCGTGTTTTCAAATTGATTTTGTTAAAAAAAACCATTTTGTTTTTCCCATTTTCGTCGCCGTTAGAACCATCACAAGGTAATTTTATGTAGTCCTGTGAAGTTTTGTTGAAATCGGCTAAAAAATGTAGGAAATTCGATCCAATATATAAACGTTACAGACACACACACACACACACACACAATCTGCGTTTTATAATAAGTAAGATCTGGCAAAAGTATGTACAGATAATCGCTTGCTGGAGTTCGGTCGTAAAGTTAGAGAGTGTCAATTGAAGGAGAGTTGTCAGGTTTCAAGGCGACAGCTCGGAGGTAGGCCGATGGAACAGCGATGTTCTAGGTTCAGTCGATCCCCGATGTGATGTCTGCCGTTTTGTAAAGAGCGCGTCGGCGCTTGAGAAGAGAGAGGGTCGGCGCGGACGGCGCTGGTGTAGTCTGTTCGTCCTTGCTTCGATCGTATTACCCTATATTATTTTTCTGCTTGCGGGGTTAACAGGCACCTGCTTAACGCCGCAACACATACATACACGCATACGTTCTTGCCTACGTACACAAAAACTCATTCTTGCAAGGACTACTACGAACATTTTGACGACCTTGTATCAACCAAAATACATTAATTTTATTTGTAAAGACCTAAATTGATTTGTATTTTATATGTATTTATATACATTTGTTGTTTCACTTTACAATTTAATTTTCTTGTTTTATACTCCTCTTATGGTGGGCTATCTAACTAACAAGGCCAAATCAAACTAACCTGTTTCAACACTCATACACTTCACTATAACTGATGACCCACTATAGACTGAAAGAAATTCTTGTACGATTTCAGTTTGACTGTGATTGATGTGTGCTAAAAATTCTAATTTTGTTCACCATATTTGGGTTTAAAACACTGAATTTAGAAACCATAATTTTATTTTATTTTTTTTTGTTAAGAACAGGAATTAAGATGACAGAAGATAATGATTGACATTGCATGTAAACTTTTGAAGATCAAAGTTAACTAGAAAATAAGAAGCCGGAAAAAAGTTCTATAAGTGGGAGAAAAGAAACTGTTAGTGTTTTAGCATAGAACTTATGGTTACATCTAACAACCATTTCAACTGTAAAATGATGAAACCTTGTCACCAATTTAGTACTGCACTTAAATTCATAAAGTCTAGGTACCATAGAGGAAAGTTCATCAGAACAATTACCATGAAAATATTGAATTAAAGGGCAGAGGGAAACTGCATTATGGTGGTGGGAAAGTGACTGAAGCCGAGAGGCAAATGTGGGAAATTTATCCTGACTTTTTCATATGAAAGGGTTACGGTTAAGGTGGTAGAATGGATAAAAGCAAGAACTAGAACAGCTTTAAAGTTCAGAGCGGACAATTCGCTCTTTTAGGCGGAAGAATAAAAAACTCAAACTCCTGCTCGGGGTGTGACAATAGAAAATTTTTTAAAATTTACAAATTTTACAAACACAAAAAAAAACAAAAAGTAAAAACTGTAAAGGGAAATATGATGCGTTCGGTGGAGCAGGGGTGTATTCAACAAAAATCGAAAATTGCTTTTTCATTGAAAATTATTCATTAATTATACAAAATACACGATTACTGACAGTATTACAAAATATTTCAAGCTCAATTTAGGTTTATAGTTCATAACCATGCAACGAGATGAGGTTGTCGGAGTTACCTCCTCCTTCGCTCCTTAAACAAAGAGAACAGGTCATTTCAACCTTGACCTCTCGGTTGTGCTCCCTACACGCTGTTAACCTGTGGTAGAGACTAGCAAGTTAACTTTTCAGTTTACTGATATTACAAACCTAGTTGTAATATACTTCTTGACATTTTTAGGCCTTAGTTCCCTTTAGCTAACCGTGACTTATTTTTTTTATGGAGACTTTCATGTATTAGCTCCCAATTCTCTTGCTAGTCTCCCTTACCACAAGACAGTGACTTCTCACTAAAGGTGGCGATCGTTACATTCGTGAAGTCGAAACCCCAGAGGGGCGTACCCTTCGGGCCACTGACGACATGTGCGAGGCGTTTCGGCGGCATTTCGAGAGCCGCTTTACCAGGGAGCCTGGTCTTCGTGAGGACGAGTTTCGCAGCTATTTGGCTGACTTTCCTCGGCTTGCGCCGACCGAAGCGGCTAGCTGCGAGGGAGAGATTACCGAGGGCGAGGTCTACGCAGCTTTGAAGAAGGTCGGCAGAGGTAAGTCGCCCGGTCTGGATGGTCTGCCCTATGAAGTGTACTTGAGGCTGTCGCACATCTTTGTCCCGATTTTGACAGTCGTGTTCAACAACTGGTTCCGGCAGGGGTTCCTCCCCGACCGGTTCTCCAGGGGTGTGATCACGCTGTTGAAAAAGGGCAGGGGTGTCGGGGGAAAACTAGACGACTACAGGCCCATAACTCTGCTAAACACAGAGTTAAAGATTATGGCCAAGATCCTGCAGGAGCGCTTGCAGTCAGCTGCCGAGTCTCTGTTGGGTCCCGAGCAGACCTGTGCTGTGAGGGGTCGAACAATTCAGAGCAACCTGCATTTGATCCGCACGATCATAGAGGGTGTAAAAGACGACGAGAGAGCCGCGCTGATCAATTTGGATCAGTCCAAGGCATTTGATAGGGTTGACCATCGCTACCTTGCTACTGTCCTGCAGGCCGCCGGATTCTCACCCGATTCTGCCGCTGGATTAGCCTCCTGTATCGCTCCCCCAGTGCTGTGGTGCAGGTGAACGGAAAGCTGTCGGGCGCTTTTGCGCTGTCTAGGTCGGTTCGTCAGGATTGCCCGCTGTCGCCCCTACTTTAGCCTCTCCTTCGCCGGCTGAGGGACAGGGCGTGCAGGCCGGCCCTACGCGGAATCGCCGGTCCTGGAGGATTTCCGCGTACGCCGATGACGTATCTGCTTTCGTGTCGTCCCGCAGAGGCATTGAGGCAATACAGAAGGCGCTTGATCGGGCCAAGATTAACCGCGACAAGTCGTCCGGCTTGTGGCTAGGTGCCTGGAAGAGGGTCGATCTTCCGGGGCCCTTCGGTTGGACGGACGGTCCTGTCCGCATTCTCGGAGTGTGGTTCGGACCCGACCTCCAGGTGGAGAAGAATTGGTCTGAAGTACGAGGAAAGGTCGACGCCGCCGGTCAGACTTGGCGTCGACGGAGGTTGTCCGTGAAAGGCAGGGCGGAGGTGTGTGCTACATACATTTTCCTTTATCGATTGTCCGTACTTCCTCTCTGTGACGACCACAGGAAGCCGCTCGAGCGCTCGCTAACCTCCATTCTATGGAGGAGACGCGGGAATCGGGTGCACAGCGTCCGTGTCATGGGGGGCTGGGAATGCCACACTTGCTGAGCCACAAACGTGCCTCGAGGTTGGCTTTTCTACGCCGCGCATTGACAGGAGATTCGGTCATGGCGGGGATTGTTAGGGACGCGTTCCCTTCCCTTACTATCAATACCCCCATCTCGCGGGCTGAGCGCCATTGTAGGCCCCGGGAGTAATCGGATTTCATTCGCCAGCAAGGCCAACCGACACGGTTGGCCTTGCTGGCCGTCCCTCGGTCCAGTGACCTTTCTCGGCCTAGGAAGGACTTCTATCGTTTGCTAGTGGAGGGGGTCACGAAGGATCCCCTACGCGAGGATCTCGACATATCGGAGGATGAGTTTTGCTCTCACTGGTCTTGGGCGCCAGCGGCGGATTACCTCAGTAACCTTGTGTTTTCGCTTACCTGGCGACTGGCTCGGAATCGGCTGCCTCTCAATGACATGGCCTTCATATGGGGCTTGGCGGACTTGCCAGACTGCGATCGGTGTGGCCTTGGTCTAGAGGAAACGGCTTCGCACGCCTTCTACCATTGCCCCGGGTCCGCCCCTTATGGGACCATGTCGGCGAGCTGACGGCTCGTCTCGCTCCCGGCAAGCTTGTGCCCATGGATCGCGTATACGCGTGTGACAATGTGTCACCCTCGTATTCCGGGGTGAAACGGATGGTGTTTCTCACGCTGTTAGCCACGACCCGAATGGTGATATGGACGACGCGAGAGGAGGAAGACTTGCGGGGTAACCGTCTTTCTCATCAGGATCTGATCCGATTCTTTGAGCATCAGCTCAAGATGAAGATTAGAACTGATAGAAAACGCTTGCATTCGACAGTCTTCAGCGAAAGGTGGGTGACTGAGGCGAGCTTGGTTCGTGTGAACGGGGCTAGCCTTGATTTTCTCTTTTAGGTCAAGCCTACGTTACATCGGGGTGGCTTCCTGTGGTGCCCTCCCCTTGGTTAGGTTAGACAAGTCTTGGTGTACCTAGTTAATGCGAGTAAGTGTTGTTCCCGGCCTGCCCCCTGGCCACATCTTTAGTTATGATCCAGCCTGAGATTCCCAACCTCCCCAGTTTGTTTTTTTGTCCCCCCCACTTTCTATCTCGACTGGGTCAGCTTTATACTTCCCCATGCCCGTATGATTTTTTATCACCTTTCCCACTCCCTTAGCGAGAGAGCTGCTTGATTTTGCTCCAATGAGCAGAATACAGTGGTCTCCCTGCCTTTTGAGGGTTTGACGGGCCCTACTAACATCAGTTAACGTTTAATTTCATTTATGTTAATATTTTAGTTCGTTATTGGGTTCATCTCCCCCCCTCTCATTTTTTCATCTTAGAAATTTGTATATATGTGTTAGGATCATTAAATTACAATGACACGCGGCGCGTTTTGTAGGTCTCCCTAGAGTGGATGTGGTATTATGGTGCATGGAGGATTGATTGGTGACGGACGAGTTCTTATGGTGAATGAGTAAATTGTAATGTCTGAATGGGTCGTGAATCAAATTAGCTAGGTATAAGATAGTTAGTGAAGACCAGCCTTTTACCCCCTCCCCCTTTTCGGCCTTGTGCCACAATTTTGTATTTTTACAAAATAAATCCCGGTCGGCGACTGAAACGGTCGGATACGCAGGCCCCTGGCGTTCGCGGCCAGGAACGTCGATCACCGGACTGTGTATTAAGTTACGCTCCCGTTTATTTTTTTGTCTGCCAACTTGACGATAGTTGGAAACTTTCCTTTCTCTCTCTCCTTCGCCTACTACTCCTGGCGTTCGACGCTCGGCATTCCGTCCCTACTAGCTGCCTGCACGTCGTCCATAACCTTTCCCGTACACTATGTTAGTAATTATTACGGGAGGTTAATAACATTGGACTCGACCGGCAAACACGCAACGCCTGCACTGGACCTTTGACATGCCCGAACAACGCCAGCTCCTCTTTTCTTCCCAACACGTCAAGTTGGCATCCCGGCCACGACCAACATCAACTTCAACAACCAACAGCGATGATCCTGCCAACAACCAACATCAACTGCAACAACCAACAGCGATCATCCCGGCAACGACCAACATCAACTTCAACTACAGCGATCACCTGCAACGACCAGCAGCGACCACCTGCATGACCAGCAGCGATCATCTGTAACGCGGCAACAACCAACATCAACTTCAACTACAGCGATCATCTCTGCAGCGACTACCTTCATGACCAACAGCGATCACCTGTAACAACCAACCTCGACCATCAATGCCTGCACCGGAACATCTGCATCTCTACCGTTCCGACCACCTTATTTTCTTTTCTAGAATAAATTAGCATATATCATATATATCCTCGTTCTGTCTTCTATATTGTTACACCTTTTCAGATTTAACGTCCTCGAAAATGTTAGCGGGCCTCTTGTGACCTCATCACCCTTTTGTGATACGGGGGCGCACGGTCCGCTACAAGGTAAAAACCGTACATTTGTCTTGTTACATAATATGATAGTGAAATCATTAAGGTTTTTTGTCAAAAGCATTTTATTTTTGGTCGTATATTAATTTAAAATATTCCTTTTTACAGGTTTTATTTTTTGAAATGGAAGATCATTCTAAATTTCAGAATTTCGCTATTGCCCATCAAAATGACTGGAAGAAAGCGAAAAACAACAATGGAAAAGAGAGGTAACAAAGCATAAAAAAACGAAATAGCTCCAGTTTGTTCAACTTAGGAAACTTAGCACCGCAGCCAAAGTCTGGTGTTACAGTCGCTGACCTGATATTATCACAGACGAAGTCCAATAATATTTGTTGCCAAAGAGGTGCATCTTCTCCATATTTATCGAGATTAGAAGGCTCAGAAATATCAGGAAATTTTTATACACTTTTCCAGCACTCTCATTCGTCAGAAAATATATTCTTATCTCTAATAGTGATAAGAATCAAAGGTTTAGGAGCTGTTTTTTGGAAGCAAGGGTCCGACAAGTCGTAAGCGTTATGGGCCGATTATATGGCACCATGGTCAGGGCAGAGGTGGTCAAATTCCTTTTTATATTTTCCAATTCTCTCGTTCGTCAGAAAATATATTCTTATCTCTGATAAGGATCAAGGCTCTGGGAGCTGGTTTGGGAAGCAGGGGTGAAAGTCGGGGCAAAGATCAGAAAAGATGCTAGAGAACGTGAACTTTTAAATTTAAAGCATTGTAGTAGTGGTTCTCAAAAAATTTTGTGAGAGAATTTTCCCAATAAGTACTGCCAAGATGGATGCTTAAAAAAATGAAATCAAAAAAACAAAAACAAAACAAAACAAAATACTACCTACTGATTATCAAATATTAGGGAATTAATTATCCAACTTTACTTAAATGTCTAAAAAAGGACCCAGAGAACCAACTTCCTCTGAGGTAGGTCAACCTTTCTTGCCCCCTTCGACCTTCAACATTTTAATTTAAATTGTGAACTTTTCGAAGTAAGTAAATTTCTTTTTTATTTTATTTTATTGATTTATGAGCTGTTGCTCTAAAAAAAAAGTTGTTAAAGTTTCTTTGTTGTTAAGGAAAAAATCGTTTTAGTAAAGTTTGTTGTTTTCTAGAAGACATTTGTATTACAAGAACTATTTTATCTTGATAGTTTGAGAGGTGACTCAAGGAAATTTTGTGCCCTAAGCCTTGCACAGAATTTCCCTTGTGCTTTTATTACAATTTTTTGTATAATTTATTTGTATATTGTAAAAAAAAAGTGTTTTTCGTTAGCGTCCATTATAGTCAGTCAGATACACGCTTAGGCGAACATGTATCTTTCGATAAATGACTGACGAGGCAGATTTTTTCCCCGCAGTAGGTTGCCATTTCTTTCTACGGTAGACCAGTTGCTATCCAAGGCGATAGAACCCGGCCCGTCCTGCTATTTACTCATAGCTGTGGGGAGAAGAAGAGGATACCTTTCCCAAAAAGGGTATTATTAGCACGTAAGTGAATAATGTAATGGATTCGACTGGAATTCGAACACGGCTCTATCGATTCCTCACTACTCCACCGTAGTACTTATTTTTAAAATCCTCAGTTGAAATCTTCGTTCTCCTCCCTTCCCTTTTGTTTTCTTTTTTTTTCGCTTTCATTTCCTATTTTTAGTAGAGGACAATTTAGTGTCACCGGAATAACCCAAGGGACGTAACTCTTATGGCTTCATTTATTCATTGCTTGCTTATTTATTTATTTATTTATTTTGAAAACCTCTAAGACATTTGGGGGTTTTCATAACTAACTTGGTTTATAATTTCTTTTAACACTGGCTTTCCATGTGTCGGTAAAGTATAAACAATGCAAGTTTTATCTTTTTACTTGGAGATTTCTGTTCTTCTTTTAGAAACAGATACGTAAAAAGTAGACTTCTATTATTATTTGAAAAAAAAAGTTTTACCAGCCGGAAGACAAAATAAGAAGAATGTTATTGTTAGTTCAGTTAATTATAATTTTGTTGGTAAAATTCAAAGTAATGTCAGAATTTTCAGACTTTCATTTCGTTTTTGGGTGGGATTTTTATAGTATTTAATTCTGTATAATCATTTGATGAGTAAAGTTGAACTTGACATAGTGGATAGAAAAATAAAAAGATTTACTTTTTAGTCAATTCTTATCTTACACAAACACATACAGTAATTTTTTTAGGTAGCAAAAATTCACTAACTAACAAAGTCCACCGTACATTTATTTACTCAGATTCGTTAAGTTTTTTTTCAATAAAATAACAATTTCACTTATTTATTTTATTTCTGCTCATAAAAACAAACAAAACAAAAGGATAACATAAAATTTACTTTAGCTCAATTTTACAATAACATAATTTTTATTTCATTTCTTTTAGTTTTTTGGTCTCATGTTTGTTGAAGATATCTTCAAACGAAATAACTGACGAAAGCAAAATTATTAGTTTTGTTTATTATTCACATTTCACACGGAACCACTCTTTCAGACAAGTACCCAATATCCGGGTTTTTTTTTGGGGGGGGGGGTTATACATTACTGCAGTTATAAAGAAAAATCGCCCCAGTAAAAAAAAATATTTCAGTAAAAATACTATGCAAAATCAAATAATTCAATAAAATGAAAAAAAGTAATGAAACTCGAAAAATAAATTTTTCTGAGAGTTGATGCTTATCTTGCATAAATATAAAAAACATTTTTTCTTTCAGATTGGACAGTTAAAAACATTTATTTATTTTTAATTTTAATTTATTTAATTTCATTCAGTGTGTTTTTAAAATTCATCCCGTTGCTGTTTGTAAAAACAGGTTTTTTCTTTTAATAAAATCAAATAAAAAACATCTTTGTTGAAGAATCCAAAAAATTATTAAAATGTAATGCATTTTGTGGAGGACATTTTTTTAATTTTTACATTTTAGCAACTGTTTGGGGATTATTTTGGATATTCTTCTATGTGCCGTGTCCCTCATGGCCCTTCTTCACAATTTCCTGTCCTTTGTAACTCTAAATAACTTTTGTTTTTTTACCATCTCTCCCAAATCATGCTCTGACGTCTAATTTAACTCAAGCTCGCCAGGTAGGTTATGCATTGATTTCCTTTCCTCTGTCTTCTCTTATCTTCAATCTGTCCTGTGAGTATCAAAATTTCCAAACCCTTTTTTCATTATGTGTCCCAAAAATGTTAACTGTCTCTTCCTGATAAGAATAAGTGTCGTTTTTATTGCCATTGTCTCTAGAACTTTGTCGTCGTTCACATGTTTGGTCCATAGTATTCTCAGCATCTTTCTGTAGAACTATATTTCTGTTGCTTTAAGTCTCTTCATCTGTGAAGAGACTGTCCAGAGTAACACAGTAACTCTTTTCTTTATTTCTAACAATATTTCTTTGTTTCTTAATACTTTGCTCAGCTTTTGGAAGGCATCTTTCACTATCCCAATGTACTTTTGGATTTCCGTGTCACATTTTCTGAATTTTTCTTAGTGTCTATCAGTGTTAAAGTTTTAACAATCCTTGTTTGTAGTCGTTTAAGACAAAAAGAAATATGATTTCTTTGCATGTATGTGAGAAAAAGTCAAGGAGGAAACTAAATGTCATAGCTTGATGAGGAAGATGGGTGAATTAGTAAGGGAATTTCTTTTAAACTGTGCACGTTATCATGAACTGTTTCCATATGTTGCTGTTTCTTCTCTTTATTGTTTGTCTGGTCTAGAACCTTTGCTTATATACCCTTCAAATGGATCATAAAGCATATGACCCGACACAAAATGTTAAATATTTATTTTCAAAGCATTAATTTATTAACTGGAAGAATGTGCAAATCCTCCAATTCAGAAACCATTTTTTTTGTCGTTTGGTGTTTGATTGTCTTGCTGTTTATTTCCATCTTTGCTCCACAAATATGCTTCCCAGATATCTAAATTGTTGCACCTGTTTGATTTCAGTTCTCCAATTTGTAATTTTTTTGTTGTGGATGCCCAAAATGGAAATAATTTTGAATTACTGCCTCTAACTACTAATATGATAATTCAATAACTCTTAAATTCAAACTAAAATGCAATTTGGGTGCAATTTCTTTTCTTTTATTTAGATATTTTATGATATCAAACAGGTATGAAAATAATAAAAAACGGAAAAGCAATGTATTTAACTCATTATCATTTAACTAACAAAAAAACTACTTAAAAAAATAAAATTATTCATTATTATATTTCATAAAATCATATAGAATAAAAAGTTATATTCGTATTGATTTTTAATTTACATTTTTCTTAAAAGTCTGCCTGCAAATCTCAATTGTGATTGTTAATTTTTCTTTTCTTGTGAGTGAGTATTCAGTATTATGCATCAAAGATGACCTCTTGAACATTGGTTTTATTCTAAAAAAAAAAACAAACCTGCATTAAATATCTGTATTGTAGGCTTTGTGAATTCAAATGAAATTTCCATGAGGCTTGTAATTTCTCGTTTCCTTAGCAGTATCAAAATTTTCCTATACATCATTTAAAACTATTCTATTTAATAGTGATGCATAGAAACAGAATTGAGAAGTTGAAATGGTATATAAATGCCATAAACATACTACATTGGAGCAATTAAATGATAAAAATCAAAGGTTTTCTCTTCTTGTAATATTATTTGTACTATGATTAAGTTGAGCATCTAAAATATGATGAGGAAATGTGGTGAAGTCATGAGAATTGTGAAAACCTTTAAATATTGGCTTTTTCTTTGCTGTCTATTCTGTTTGATCCAAGGGTTTCTAAATGCACATTAATTAATTTCACTGACATGTTCAAAATAAAACATTTTTTTCACTACCTCTTATACTTCCCAATAGGATTATATACTCTGGAAAAAACATTTTTGGTAAAATTGAAAGTTTTTAAAATATTTTACTTTCAGTGCTAACCATATTTTTCTCTTGTTAAATTGCAGGAACCAACTGGTGATGTTTACAATGAAATCATGAGAACAATCATTTTGAAAAAGGACCGGATTTATGTCCTCATTTCATTTGCTGCCTTCCTCTTCTGTTCTTACATCCTTTTCAATATTTTCACACTCTGGCAGGCTTCCACATGTTCAAATTCTTTCAGTATAAAGTTTTTGCAAGAATTGGTAAGAAAAGTAATTACTTTTTTAAAATTAACTTCACCTTATCTACTGTTCAGAATGATATCAGATTTTATTTATGCAAATCAATGTTTACATTATAAAATTGGTATTAACCAACCAATATTAACATTTTCCAGATATATTTATACAAGCAATATATAATGTGAATTTCAGTCTATCCTTATTGAAATATTAATGATAAGAAGTGTGACAGAAATTGTTGTTTATAAATAAACACAAATGATATAAACCAAATAACTATATATTTGAGTAACACAATATACCATATATCTGAATAAATTATTTTTATTTTACATATTCATATGGGCTCCTTGACATTCTGTAACCTTCATCAGTCTTTCATTCATTGATTTTGTACTGTTTTTGACATCACTTGCAACAGTTGTAATTGTTTTCTCTCAATCTTCTTTGCTTGAATTTTGTCTTCCATTCTACATCTTTTTTAATGATAGATCAAAAGTTTTCTTTTGGATTAATATTTAGAGAGGCTGAAGCCATTCCATTAACATGGAGTTGTTGAAATCTTTTTCGGCAAGGCAGCAATAGTCAGCTTTGCATAATGTGAAGGAGCATTTACTTGTATGCATATATTCTTCTGCTTGAAGCTTCTTAGTTCTGATTTGTACCACTCAGAAAATGTCCAAGAACTTATAATAACTCTTCACATTTATATAGATGCCATCATCAATTTTGAAGAATATTTTGAGCTAGTACTGCAAGTAAATTTTCTTTGTTCTTATCTTGCCAATGTATTTAATTTTATTTTTTATTGTTCTGTAATTTTTCCAATATGTCTTCTTGGTGCTATGATTATGTCTTGCAAATGCATCAAGCCAGTAGAAAACACCAAATTAAACAAGACCCAAGAAGGTGGACTTGTGATCCAATGTCAAGATAATGTTTCTTTGATACAACAGGACTGATTTTCCATCTCAAATTATACTTAATTGCATTTTTACTATTGAAAAATTCCAATTTTATTGTATTTCATGGGAAAATTGCAATAAATTATAAAAATTAATTATTAAGAATAGGGAAAAAACAAAATTAAAAGTTTTATTACATATAAATCCTGTCTTTTACCAGGGCAGGTATTTTCAATAAAAATTAAAACAAATAAAAATAAATTCAAATTTCCTGTAAAAGTAAAAAAAAAAAAACATGACAAAATGATAAAATAATGGAATGTTGCAGTGCATAATTGTCTTTGAGGAAGAATTTTAATCAGAGATTCTTTCTGTTAGAACAAGTATTGTCAGCAATTCTTTCCAGAAAAGAAAATCTTCTCCTTTTTCTATTCCAAAATGCTGGGATGAAAGGATTTGGTAAGTCATTTTGGTAATTCACATAAATTTGAAACTCTTCTAGAAGATTAGTAGAAAGAATTTGTAAGTCCTTAATGGCTGTAAAACTGTCAATATCATGGTAGGGTGTGGCTGTCTTGTATCAAACAGATGACCTGCCTTGTAAAAGTCAAATACATACATTCAGGTGTTTCTTTAGTTTTGAAATAGATGTCCCCCAAAAAATCTTGGAAATTTGAGATGATCTCATATCCCTCTGTGTTTTCTGGTTCAAATAGAGGACAGTCTTGATTCTAGGCCAAATGTTGTTTTTGATGTACCATTATCCAGATAATGTTTTACATCTTCAATCATGTTGTTTATAAAACATGCTAGTGGTAAATTCATCAATTTTGTCATTGAATGGGTACAGTTTTCATTAATGATATGTATATGGTGGCACAAACCATGATAGGATGCATAGTGCAGTTGATCATCATCTACTAATTACAGAATCCTGTCTGTCACCAGGTCATGGTTCCTTTTCTTGCTTAAAGAATCTTTCATTAAATTGCACATATGATAAGTGATATTTGGCTGCATTAAACCATGAATTCCATCTGGTTGCCACTAGGACAAGGGCAGTTTCACTAGTTGTGTAGATAAGGAGCCTACAACCTATTTTAAGTATTAATAATTTCAGCTAGTCTTTTTGAAAGCAGTAAGCTGGGCAATTTTATTAAATACTGGTCAATATATATACTTCATCAACAAGATTAAAACATGTCCCAATCACAACACCTGGCAACTGTTAGTAAATAGATTTGACAACACTTACCTATAAGAAAAAGAAAACACTAAGGGAAGAGACCAATAAAGGAACAGGAAACAAGATAATGATTGACATTGCATTTAAACTTTTGAAGATCAAAGTTGACTGGGAAGCAAGAAGAATGATAGAAGAAACTGTTAGCATAGAATTTACCATTACATCTCACTATTTTAATTGCAAAATGAAGAGACCTTGCTGCCAGTATAGTACTGTGCTTAAATTCATAAAGTCTAGGTACTCATCAGAACAATTAGCATGAAAATATTTATAGAAAAGTCACAGGGAAGCTATTTTATAGTGGTGAGAAATTGACTGACACTGAGATGCCAGGTCAGGACCAATGACATTGCAGATTCTTCTTTGTATTTTATCTAGAATCTATAAAGATAACAGAAGCACCAGACCAAATGTGAAAGCAATATTCAATGCATGGATGATAAAAGTGTAAGATAGATTCTGGTGAGAAATATTTTCTAGCATGACACAGTGAACCAACTTTCTTAGCAGTAATCTTAGTGATTGATTCAATGTAATCTTTCCACTTCATCAGTAGAAAATTTTAGCTCAAGAAGGTGAAATGAGTCACTGGGGCTTGCTGATGGAAGGTAAAAAGGTTCTTTCAGACAAAAGAGTAGTTTTGTTTTGTCTTGGAGCTATTAAAATTAACAAGCCATCTCTTGCTCCAGTTAAAATCAGATTGTAGGTCATTTTTGAGAACAACTGCCAATTTGACTTTACACTTTGATAGTTGCATTTTGTCATTGTTATGACATGAATAAGAAATGACTTCTCATGAATACTTGCAATTGAAGCCAGTACTTGTTTTTGGATTTGCCTTGTTGCAATCACATTCAAAATGCAGTGGTCATGATAATGAGTTGTTTTGTCTGCTATGATACAGATGGGTCCATTGGAATGTTTAACTTTCCAGTCAGGAAGGTGACTTATGATAGAACTAGCTTCCTTGCAATGCTTTAATATAAATAGTTATAATTTTGTCTTTTTTTTTTTCAGCAGGATGTTAGACAAAGTGATAATTTTCAAAAACTGAAATACAAAATCATCTCACATGTTTTGTGATCTCTTGAAAGTTGTAATTGTCTTCTGTTTTAGTGTAGATGACTTTTAGGGAGCCTTTTTTTTACCAAATGGATTTTTGATATTAGGTAAGCTTTTATTCTTAGAATATCAACACTATAGAGATGGAATTTTGAAACAATGCATTCTCTTCTACATAAAAGTAATAGAGGAAATTGTTCTACCCTGACTTCAGAACACATTTTAGATACTGAGGTCATTCATCTATTTTTGAGAGGAGCAAGTGCAGCTTTTAAAGCTGAGGTTGTAGGTGTTTCACTATATTTCTTACATTTGTCCATCTTAGCCATGTGTCATTCATTCATATCAGATTTTTATTGAAATGATTTAGAAGTTGGAAAAAAAATTCTTTAGAGAAAGTATGCCAACTATATTTTGGGAAAGAATAATAGTTAATGTGTTATTAAAGGATTTTTTCTTTTAAATTATTTTCTTTTACAATAGCAAAGATAATACAGTTATAAACCCATGTGTAGCAATAAATAAAGCCATGCTTCTTAGCAGATGAGCTGGAGCTGATCATCATAGCTTATTGTTAAATTAAACCCAGAGAATAAACAAATCAGGTAACAGGTGTTGGCATAGAAATTAGAAGAGATGAAAACAATATAAGTTTAACAAATAATAAAACAAGGTTAAGAGGTGTTTAGAATGTTGTAAAGTTTGTGAAGTCAACTGTCTGTAGAGGAAATTAATGTAAACTAATGAAAATCTTTGAATAAATTCTTTGTAAAGTGTTTTGTTGGAAGAAAGTATTAAGAGTTCTTTAAATGTTATTGCAAAAAATTTTTATTCCTTCCTATTTCTACTTCAGCACCTGTTTCTGATTTCTCTATCTTCACACGAGCACTTTAGCAATAAACTGCAACTGTCACTCTGGTTCATTAGCTACACCCAGGGTTTGGAGATTACAAAATACTAAGTTGGTTTACTGTGCTGGCAAGATGATCAAATTTCAAATCTAAATTGTTTGTTCATTTAAAATTGTACATTTTTATTAAAAAAATATTCAATTTAAATTCAGTAGGAGTTAGAAAAATGACTTCACTGTTGTACTCTTTTTCCTGTTACTCAGAGTTTAGTCCTCTCTACAAAGATGTTCACTTCAATTTCATTCAAACTTTGTGTGTATGCTTGTGTGCATGTACATTTTAATTAAATTACAGGCCTAAAAACATTTTTGCAAAATAAAAATAAAAGAACTTATTACTGAATAATTTCCAAAAAAGTAACATGACTAATAAATAATTCTGATAATTATCTGATTTTTCCCTCTCATTCCTCTTGTGCCATTTTTACTTCATATTTTTATGGCCATTAATTAAAAAATGGCCTAAATTCACTTTGTTATAAATAATAAATTAGACATTTATTTTGTGGCCATCTTATTCTAGGTATTAATAAATATATATGAACAGACTGATAGATATGAAAAGAATGAAATAGGCAAGAATATATTGATATCAGTCTATTCATGTCTGTATTGATATCAATAGATAGAAAACATGAAATAATTATAGATAAGATATTAAAATTCTCTCACTGAAGTAAGAAAAGCTGATTTTTTTCACAGTCACAGTCTTTGCTTACATGTATAGTAATACATGTCAGCAAAGAGACAGTTTGACAGACAATTAAACTGTTAAGTTTTCATCCTTTTTTATTAATCTGCCCAGAGGATTGTCCAGACTGATTTGGGAGAGGAATGTTGTATTCCAATGTCAAAATCAATGAAAATGGCATGCTTTTGTGTGTACAAAAGCACATGGAGGTCACTCATGAATAAGCCAAACATCTGCATATACATTACATGCACATATGCAAAGTCAGATCTTTTATAATATAGATTTAAAAATAAAGCATAGGACCAGACCAAATTTTTTTTAGAAAATAGACATCCCTCTTTTTTTAAAAAAAAAATTATAATTAACGTAAAAACTTTCTTAATTTCTTTCTTAATTTTGTGTTTTGAACAAATATTTGCAAACAAATTAAGAATACAACTATGTATGTTCATTTATTAAAGCATATTAACTTTCTTATAAGAAAATTGCAGAGTAAAAGTTACTGAGTTTTGAAAAAATAAATAAAAAGAATTTGAAAGAATACAAAATGATTATTTCTGTTTAAATTTCTGGGATGAGGAGTTATCATTATTTACAATATTTATATTTGGAATACTGTCCTCATATTTGTTATTGTAATCACAACATTTTGACTGTAGTGAAGGGGTGAGACAATGAAATTAGGCATAGCTGATCATGTATGGAGAGAAAAGGGTAGTCATCAGTGCCTGTGGGATGAAGTGAAAATACTGAACAAGGAAGAACACAGGAGAGTTAGACATCTGGAGGGAATGACAGCCAAAACATTGTGATAACAATAATAAAAATGAAGACAATAGTCCAAATATAAATAGTGCAATTAGCAAAATGATTAATTTGTTATTTATTGAAAATTACATGAAAAATCAGATTTCTTTTCAGGTGTGTGATTCTGTCTGTGATTGAAAACATTGGTCTCCCTATTGATTTGTTCCACTTTGACAGATGGGGAATCAGCAAATTTATTTTGAGGTGTAGAGATGATGATGTAAGAGTGTGTTGAGAAAATGATAAAAATATGAAATCATAGCAATTGAATCTTTCACCACAACAATGTCAGTCATTGCTCACATAGTGTTGATTATCCAATAGTTTTTGACTGACAACGATGTTTTTTTTTTGTTTACTGATATCAGATGTGATCTGGAAGGGAAATGTTTGGTTGAGATCAACAATGTGTTCAAAAAACATTGGAGGCCTTTTTTTCTTTTTCTTTCTTTTGTTTTTTTTTAATTGGTAACACCCCAAACAAGGTAGTAATGCCATTAAAACAGAAGGGGTTACAGGGTGGTGAAAGAATTAAGAACAGAAACATTAGCAGAAAGAGAAGAGAGTAATCAGGTGGACAGTAGATAGTGATTGACATTGCATTTAAATTTTTTCAGATTAAAGTTGGCTGGAAAGCATGAAGCTGAAAGGGAGTTCCACAAGTAAGAAGTGCAAGAGAAGAAACTGTTAGCATAGAACTTACGGATACATCTAGCCAGCTCAACTGTAAATTGATGAGATTTTGATGCCAGTCTAGTACTGCACTTAGATTTATAAAGTCTAGGTACCATAGTGAAGAGCTCATCCAAACAATTACCATGAAAGTATTTATAGAAAAGACATAGGCTGGTTGGAAAGCGACTGGAGCTGAGCTGCCAAATCAGGACCAATAATATTGCAAATTCTTATCAAGGAGCTCAAGGTAAATAGCAGGAACACCAGACCATATGACATGTTCAGCAGAAGAGGGGCATAGTCAACATTTGATAATTTTCTGGCAATATGTGCTTAAAGGTTTTTGACAGTTTTGATCAACATTTCTTTTTATGGTTAGCCATAAGGAATTGTAAATGTAGGGCTACCACCTTACACTTAAGTAAAATAGCAAAATTTAGCAAAATTCTGAAATTTAGAATGATCTTATTCCATTTAAAAAGTAAAGCCTATAAAACAGAATATTTTAAATTAATATTCGACTAAAAATAAAATGCTTTTGACAAAAAGCCTTAATGATTTTACTATAATTAAATAATAATAATGTAATGATATTCTGCACAGACAAATCTACAGTTTATCTCATCTCATTGCATGGTTACAAACTATAAACGTAAAGTGAGCTTTGAATATTGTGTAATCGGCTCTAATTTTTTTGTAAAATACTTGGATATGATATAGTGAATAATTTGCAGTGAGTAAAGCAATTTTCAATTTTTTTTTTTTTTTTGTTGTTGAATATGCTCCTCCTCTGCTGACCATGTCATATATGGCAGCAATATTCTAAGCATGGACAAATGGCAGACATGGATACATAAGATAGATTCTGGGCAGAAAAATTGTCTCGCCTGACATAGTGAACTGACCTAGCAATGAATTCAATATAGTCTTTCCACTTCATATTAGCAAAAAACATGAGCCTGAGAAGGCACAAGTCACTTTCCTGGAGGATAGCATTATTCATGCAAGGGTGACTTGTCTGACTGATAAGCTTTTCTATCAAGACAGGTGTAAAATGTTGTGTCGTCAGCATAGATACCAAGTTGAGAGTTGATGTCATCAGGAAGGTCATTAATGAAAATTAAAAATAGAGTAGGACCAAGGATGGAGCCCTGGGGACACCTGCATTAGTACAAAATGATCTAGATGAGTGGCCATTCAGGATAACTCATTTCATGATTTGATTTTAAAGACTGGATCAGTTCAAAAAAGTGTCTGGAGACCATAACTTTACAATTTGTGGAGAAGACCTGCATGCCAGACCCTGTCAAAGGCTTTTGAGATGTCCAATACAACAGCCCTAGTTTCAATGTTTTTTATCTAGAACATGATAAACTCTTTCTACAAATATTATCTGCATATGACCTGGAGAAACAAAAGCCATATTGCTTGTCTGAGAAAAGGCCCTGTGATTAGAGATGATGAACCAATTCAACATTGATTGTAGCTTTTAGGAGTTTCTCAAAAAGAGGTAGAAGGCTAATAGGCTGATAGTTGGAAGGGTTGGACAGCTCACCAGAGTTCTTAAAAACTGGAAAAATAGATGATGACTTCCAGCAGGCAGGAAAGCAGGAGGCAACAAGGCATTTATTATACAGTTTAGAGAGAATAAGTGTCAGTTCAGGAGCACAATTCTTAATGACTATTACAGGGATACCATCAGATTCACATGCTTTGTGGGAATTTAATTTAGAGATGATAGCAGACAGTTCTAAGAGGGAAGTTAAGGATATTCAAGAGTAGAGTTTGACAAAATCTACAAGGTTTTCTGGAAATGTTTCCAGCTGTAGAAAAAAAATGTTAGGTTAAGTGCAAGGAGACTGAATTTTTAAGTTTTAAAACTTAACAAAATAATGTTTTTTAAAAATAATTCGTTTTATTTTAGGTACCCCCTTATATATAATTTACTTCTATAATCAAGACATATTTATCAAGAAATATAATTAAAAATATCTCAGTGCATGTATAAGAAGTTTAAAATGAGGAGTTCTTAAATTTTACACTGAGTAAGAATGAAACATTGTCTACTGAGACCTCTCATCTTCAGGTATTTCATCTCCATTATAGTAACAAAATGTCAGAATACATTATTGATTTTGCAAATGACCATTACAGGCCACTACTTAAATAGACTGATCCATTCGTAACAAGGAAAATATTTTAGGAAATAATTTTTATAGATTAGCATTCTTTCTACCTTAGGCTGCAATACTTGTCAGAATCCAAAAATATTGATTTGTTTTTATCACTTTGGAACTGGGTCCCTGTTCATAATATTGATACAGTGTAAAATTGACCCCGACTTCATACACTGCTAAGTGCTGATAACTCTTTATTTACAAATGTCATGTTTGAAATTGTTTATGTCATTAATATGTTTATTTCTTTAAATTCACTGGATTTATTTATCCATTTTAAAATTTTAAAACTTTTTGTTAAAAAATTGCTTGTTTTTATTATTTTTCATATGCCAAATCTTTTAAACAAATTAAACAAATCTTTTCTTTAAAATATTTATATATCTGTCAGTTCTTTAATTGAATTGAAGGAGTTTTTTTAAATGTAAAAAACAAATATCAACCTAATAAATAATTGCTTGTTTAAAATATATTCATTTGTTCTTCAATTAAAAAAATTAAAAACCTATTCTTTTAATTAAATTGATATCAGCAGACACAAATAGCCTTTTTTTATTTACAAAAGTAAATAAAAAAAGTCTATTTGTGTCTGCTGATATCAATGATGTAAGCAGTTTCAAACTTGACATTTGTGAACAGAGTTATCAGAACTTAGCACTTTAAGAAGACTGGGAAGAATTATGAGAACATTATGAACAGGACTCACCTTGTAAAATGTTTAAAAAAAAAAATCAAACTTTTTTTTATTCTGAGAAATGTGACTTAAGGAAGATCTAAAGAATGCTTATCTACAAAAATTATTCCTTGGAAAATTTTTTCCTTTTTTTTACAAGTGGACCAGTCTACTTGAGTAGTGTATATTACAGTAGGAAAGTGTCAGAACACATTGTTCATTCTGTAAATGATCATTACATTGCTTCTATGTACTTACACAAGGGTGGATTAATAAGTCCATAACCTGATGCAGTTAGCAGAATTTTTATCTGAAAATTTCACTGTATAATGTTTAATCTGTGTGATTAATGGTGAAGTATTGGGTTAAGTGTATTGACATGAAAGGAAATTGTTGAAAAATAAATTCTTTATTTCATCTTTAGTCTATAAACTTATTGACAAACTTATAAACTTAATTCACTGTAATGTATGCACACACCTATAGGTAAAAATAAAATCCTTTGAAAATCAGAAGCAAGTTTATTTATTAATTTTTTTATTTTTTACATGAATTTTTCAGTGTTCATTGTACAAGAAAGAAGTGGTGTCTGGCAGTTTGTGTCATTCAATTTGTGTGAGTCATACCATCCGTTACCAGAAATGCACCAACTACCGAGATGGCAAGGTGGTCATAGTGGCTGATGCTGACGACCTGCCTTATCCAATCATCCTTAAGTCAGCCAAGCATTCTTTTAAGGATTTTGACAGTATATCCTTCAAAGTGGGTGATCAGCAAAAGTATCCATATTTCAGTGCATTCCGTCAGATCATCCGTGATTCTGTTTTGCTTAACCTTGGCTTAAATTTGACATTTGAGATCGATGAAATTGGGCAGGTATGGTCAATAGATACACAGACATTTTTTGAGAGTATGAAATGGTCTAAGAGGGCATATGTGACTCTCATGGACAGTGTTTGGCCTCTCATACAACAGGATGAATACCTGCTGTTAAGATTGAACCAGCACCTGCCATATATGCCAAAACTTTATGGAACCTGTGGTTATGTATATGCTGTCGAATATGCACCACCATCTAAGCTGTTTTACTCATCTGTTATTGAAGGTGGCTGGAGTGCAAGGGCTAAATTAGCCCTTGGGATCCTTGATGTAGTACGGGCCTTAGATTTTGATTTTCATGAGCCATTGCATATATGTGATGTAAAGCCAGAAAATTTTGGCATTAGTTCTACCAACAAACGGATAAAACTGATTGATACAGACTGCTTACTGAGAGACAGTATAATCAAGAAAGAACTACGCAACAAGAGCTGTCACACTGACCAAGAATGCACTTTTTTTGATTGCAAAGGATGGTGTCGAACAAAGGAAAAAAAATGTGCTAATGAACGCATCAACACTAACTTACAGGTATGTACTAGTAAAATCCTTTATTATACTGGGTAGCCTAAAATGTTGTCTTTTTATCACAAAGTAGTATTAGGATCATTTAATTTTAATTTCATCAATAAATTGCTTTTGATTGTATTATTTGAAAACAATCAATGTTATACCTGCTTTAAAAATGTGATATCTAAGGTTTAAAATGAATTTTTAAAAATGAAAAACTTTCTTGAAACTTTTATTTTAGTTTTAATTTCAATAGATTAAATTTAATATTTTCAATAAGCAAAATACTTTTCTGCATTACAAAAACTTATTTAAATTGATTGGAAGGAGTTTTTTTGTTGCTAAAATAGCTGATTATCGCCGTTTTTAGACATCTTTCATTACAATGTAATACTCTTTATTAAAAAAATCTAAAAATAAAATATACTTTTCTAAAACTTTATTTGAGGAATATTAGCTGATTTAAAGTATAATTAATTTGATTTGAAACCTATTATTTACTTTATGTTTAAAATATTGCAGAAATGCATTTTTTAACCTGACAATAGCTGTGTTGACATCCCAATGACAGATCTAATGTTGTTCTACAGACATTTTATCTGTACAAATACAATTGAAGAAAATGATGTGAGCATCATTTTTATATCATTTTTAAGTATTCAGTAATCTTAAAAATTTATGAAAATATTTTCTATTTTATTGAATCATTATCGCTCTCATTTTCTGAAAATGTTGATACACATACAAAAAAAAATATCAAAATTCTTTTAAAAATATTGGTGTTTGGTGATTTGTATTATGTTTTTCCATTTGTGATTAGTAAATATAGTTTTCACTTAATAATATCTAAAACACAAATTAATTAATACAGAATTTTAAAAGATTTAAAACTTGAATTTTTCTAATTGAAATTTAAAAAATGAAAACAGTTTTTGTAAAAATTCATTATTCATCAAAAAAAATTTTATTAAGAGAATAGTGTCCTTAATGTATCTTATTTATAAAAGCAATTGAAAGCATTTCATATTGAATAATATCATAGTTTTATTTTATTTTATGATTCAGAGCAGATTTTCAGTAAATGGTGTTTGTTTGATAAAAATAAATTGATGATTTAAATTCTCCTAGGAGTCCTGCTTTTAAGTAATACAAATATAAAGAGGCTGAAATTTTAATTTTTTATCAAGATTTTCTAAAAAAAGAAATTAAAAATAATTTCATTCATTTGTAAATAAGTCCTGAAAATTTCATTAAAATCTTACAAGTATTTGATTTTTGCAAGAATTTCCAAAACAATGTGTTTTTAATGCCAAAAAATCTTTGGTCCACCTGCTGACACAAGAAAAACAAGATTTTTAACCAAAATTTTAAATGTGCTAGAAAGAATTAAAAAAAATTAATAAAATAATAAAAAAATACTTTGGTCTTTCCTCTTAATAATCTTTGTTTTTATCAAGTTTGGGGCCTTTTTTCATCATGGTATGCTCTTTTTTAAAAGATTTTTGGAGGTACCTAGATATGACACAGGAGATAGTATACTGAAATCCAGTTTTGAAAATCACTTTCGGCAACTTTATGTTCATATGGTTTCTACATAAGTGAAAATTATGTAGTGGACTATATTTCCATGTTCAGTGCTTAAAAATAGAAAAATGTTCTGTTCTTTTTCTGTTTTTGTTCTTAACAAATTATGATAGGTGATGCAAAGTATGTATTTTTACAACAATGTAGAATGAAAGATCATGAAAGCAGTAAAATGAGCTAACTGGTGGGATTAAAAGATAGTCTTTCAGAAATAAATTATCCATTCAAACAAATATTGCTTCCAATTACACCAATTGAAGACAGTAATTGATAATAAAACATCCCCAAATCCCTAAGTAGTTAAAAGAAAGAATGTAATATTTCATCAACATGTTTCTTTGCTGACCCGAAAAATCATTCCAGCTTGGTTGAGAAGTTTTCACTTATCTGCTAGATTCACCAGAGATGTTGCACCTTTGGATTATCATTTATTCCAATCTTTATTGAATTCTCTTAATGAAAAACATTTCACTTTCCTGGAAGATTGCAAAAAGGCACTTAGAACACTTCTGAGAAAGAATAAAAAAAAAAAATTAATGTGGAAATTTACAAAAAATATCTGCTCAAAGAAAGATACATTTTTATACTGAAATGTTAAGAGATTCATATAAAGATAGCAACAAAATTGAAAAAGTTTTTAGTATAAATTGCAACTGAGATAGTTATCTACAAGTTTGTATAATTGATCATATTATCTATATCATTACAATATATTAAAGTTATATTTTGTTTTTTTTGTTGTTACCACATTCTATCATCCATTCTACAGTGCACTTCATATGTACAAATTGCAAAGAAAGAGAGTTTATTTCTTCAAAGATTAATGGAAAACACAAAAAAATGGTAGCTAATGGACCATCTGGCTTAACATTCTCAGCAATGCAAAAACCACATAGACAATTTCATTCTCAGCCACAGGTGATATATAAGAGTGCTCTTCAAGTTTCTTAAGGTCAAGCAAAGAAATCTATACAAGACTGATTTTTCTAACAGCAGCATCAAAAATAAGTCAGTCAAACAAATCCTGAAATGAGAATTGATTCTAGTTGTTAATTTATAACATTTGTTGTTGGGTGATGAGATGAAATGTTTAATTTATTATTAATATAAGAAGTGGAGACTGGAATTGGCATCTTGACCATCTGACCATTGAAAATTGATTCTTTAACAAACATAATGGGGAAAGATCTAGGTTTTTGATCCTTAAATACCAACTGAATTGGTTCTTTACTATTGGGTAGAAACATAGAAAAGGTTAATTGAAAAACAAGGTCAGAGTTAAAATTGTAATGTGTGTGTGTCACCCTGAAACATGCTGGACTCAATTGTGATGGTTGTTGTAGTTTTGGGATTATAGTGTTGATAAAGTAGTGAAAATAAAAAGAAGGAATTATTGAAGAGGGAAAAATCCTCTTCTGTGTAATGGGTTGCGTATGTTTATATATTGATGTAGTTTCATTGTATTCTGTGTGTGTATATAGCAATTCTAGTAGCAAAATTCACTTCTCATTTATTTACAAATTGAGGTGATATTGGTGGGATTAGAAAGGATGTATTTTTATTCTGCATGTTAAGCACATATGTAGGGAGGAAAGAGAGAAAGGAAGAAAATAAAAGCATAAAAATAAATAGATCGAAATTTTTGTTTCAGTCAGTTGGAAAAAAAAATGAATGACAAACTTTTGTTCAATTGATAATTTTTTCCTTACATATTAAGAAAACATAAAAATGAAAAACTTTTGTAAAAGCAAAAGCTACATAAATTTTGAGTGGTTTTTTTGTTTGTTTGTTTTTATGGACAGATATTATTTAGTATTTTATAAGTATTTTATTGCTGTGAAATTGTCCCTACAAATTTTAGTTTTAATTGTTTATGAATGTTATTAATGAGGATATAGTTAATACTGTTGGGCATTAAGTAGAATTTTAAGTGAGTAAAGATTATAATTAAAATTGGAAATTTTTAATAGTGGTGTAGCAAACAGATAAAAAAATTATGTCCGTGTGGAGTACCAGTTGTACCCGGTTTTCTTTTCAGTCACAATCTATGAGATTCACACACAACTCCACACACTAAGCACAACTACTAGACTTGTCAGATATCTTTTGGATCAGCCATATTTTCTTTCATTTATTTTGCATGCAAGACATGTATAAACATTTTGTTCCAGGAGTTAAGACACACACTGAGGTCCTGGTTACATCTTTCTGCCAAATTGTAAAAAGATTACTGAAGCTTGTGCTTTCATCCTAGATGCTTGAAATGAGTGTTAACATATTCAGTTTAGATTATAGTTTCAGAATATATATAGTTTTTCATGGTTTGTCCTCTTGGTTTTTGAGAAAAATTATGTTTTTACTGAAAAATCACTAAAAATGGCAGGTTTTTGGTGACTATTTAATATTCTGGACTGGCTTTGAGAACATCTTTTTTCACAATTATGAGTGTCACTATGCCAGAAAAGACCTAAGAGCATTGAGCTATGTATAGTGGATGAGGAAAATTCCATGTAAACCATTGGGAAGTGATTAACCTGGATTTATGTCCTTAAATGCTGATAGTGACAATTTTTGCACCTGTTTTTGTACTTTTTCCTAAAAGTTTGTGGATTTTTTCATGTAAATCTTGTACAAATGTTACGAGTGGTCTAGGGACTTCTGTTTATCCATAAAGTATTACCCATGAGCATTTTCAGCCATTAATTTGGCTTCCTGGATGTTCCTACCACTGAAGATCTGTAACCAGACCCTCAAGTTTCAGGTTTGTAAAAAAAAAAAAATAACAAGATCAAAGAATACTCCAATTTAGCTCCAAATTTAAACTTGATCAAAGGAATATGTTGAGGAACAACAAGTTTAAAAGTTATAGGTTGTAGACAACTTTAAGAGGTCATTATTGTTATTTTTTTTATAGACAGAGCCGCTTAAATTCAAATACATAAAAGCAATATTTTGTGAATCAGAACACTGTTTGGATGATTCTGAAGTTGTTAGACTGAATAAGAATGAGAAAAGGTCTGCTAATACATGGATTAGGATAAGTTATCATGTAAAATAACAAAGGCTCACTATTAATCACTGGCAGGGTGAGCAGGTGGATGTGATGTGCAATTCTGCAGTGCAGACCTTCTGAGCACCAGAAAGAACTTCAATGTATAATCTGTCAGCTTCTCATGTTTCGAATCCAAATAAGGTAAGAATATGTCTGACGCCAACTTAACCAAGGGATGGGGAAGGCATCTGAGGTTGTGGTATTAGTAAATGGCATTGTCAAGGCTGAAGCCGAGAAGTTTGATTTCTTTATCATTGAAGAATTTCTGTCAATTGACAGAATTGACAAAAAAGATTGTGAGTCGTTTGAAATAATGTTTACCAGCTGCACACAGGAGGAAGGATTAATCGCAGATGAACTCTCTTGCACAGACAGTTCACCACAG